GGTTTAGAAGCATGTTATAGAGTATTTTGCATCTCCCATATGTCATATTTCAAAAATGCATAAAGGGGCCAACGTGAGCCCAAGTATTACTTTCAAAAATCCATAAGCATGTGGTACATCATTATATGATGCATTGAGAAGTTGAGAAGTTGTTGCATGCGTGAGTTTGATGCACGAGATATATATCTATGTATTATCTATTGGTGAGGTTTTGGAGGATACATTTTGGACTATGTCCTCTCGGGAGATATTTATGGACATTGCGGTCCCAGTACATGTAACGTGGCGTATTCCCACGTTACGAGGTTGGAAACTGCCCGCCAGGCTTGGAATCCTGGTAAGGGGGTGTGCACACTGATAGTTCGATATCTGATCCACAACGCGTGAACCACGAGATTGGTTCCGTAGACGGTAGGAGATATTGGGTCAGATTTACGCCGTTCCCGATGGGGCAATTCACGCAATGGTGAAACCCTGAGCCGTCTACGAGCGAAGAGAAAAGAAAGTGAGTCAAGTGAGACTCAAGAGAAATGAAAGTGAGTCAAGAAAGACTCAAGAGAAAAGAAAGTGAGTCAAGAGAGACTCAAGAGATAAGAAAGCAAGTCATTTATGACTTAAAGATACCTCCACAAAACATACTCTATTTTTACAACGAGTGGTCATGAGTATATATATCTATAGTATTGCACGAGATTGCATATGAGTATGTTTATAGTATTGTACGAGATTGCATATGAGTATGAGTATAGTATTGCACGAGATTGCATGTGATTATAGAATTGCACAAGATTGCATTTGAGTAGAATATCGTATGTGTTTGTATAGTGAAAATGTTGATTTAAGATTGTTCATCAAGCATGACCGTATAGTTATATTTGAAGCCTTGTATGTTCAGTTATGTGATAAGAAGTTGAGAGCATGAGAATACCTATTATGTAGTTTATTAGCATGTTACTACTTGTAAGCATGAGTTGCTTGTTAAGTTTATTGTGAAGTTTACATGTTGAAGTATCTACTATCTAGGTTGTTAAGTCTTATGTTTTGAAGCATGTTTGTTGATATTATAGGTTGCAAGCATCTAGAAAGTATATGATAGCTCTAAAGATGTATAGGAGATGAGTTCGTTGTTTATAAGAGTAATCAAATGTTTTCAAAGTATATCTATAGTACTTTACAGGGTTAAGTGTTATTATACTTAGCTTCGTGCTAACAGGTGTTTTCCTATTTGTCTATGTGTTTCTTGCAAAACCCCTTTCAGGTGGGCCCAGTAGTGAGAAGTGATCGAGTTGGATTAGTCTCGTAGTTTGAGATGTCTAAACTCTTATGATTATGTTGATGACTTTGTTATTCATGTTTTAGACTTATGATGAATTTAGACGATGATGATGTAGACTTTTGGGGTGACCTTTTTCCCCCTTATGATTTTCAGTATTTATTATGGATGTTAGTTATTTATTTTATTTCTAGTTCTACCCCTTAGCCTGTGCAATCACATGGAGTGGTGGTTGTGGCGGTGACATTCCCACTAGTTATCTTTTTAGTTATTAATTATGCTGTTTAGTTTATAATAATTGTGGTTTAGATTGGTGTTTAAAGGGTTAGAAAAGTGAGGTGTTACAAGATTCTAGGGTCATCCTGAAAGAAACAAGAGGCATGAATCTTAACAGCTCCTCCGCGATCTCTCTACCCGTAGCTGTCTCCCATGTGTTATAATAGGAGACTTCAACGACATCAGAAGCGCCAATGAAAAGATTGGTCGTCACCCCCACCCTCGTTGGCTCATGGAGGGTTTCAATTCTGCCATTGACAATTGTGGTTTATCTATCTTGAAATTCAAGGGCACAAGTTCACCTGGGACAGAGGCAGAGGCACCCCCCACTGGGTTCAAGAGTGTGTTGACCGTGTTCTTGCTTCTCATTCTTGCTTGGAACTCTTTGACAAAGAGGTTGTCGAATCAATTGTCACTCGGGTTAGCGACCATCTACCAATCATCATGAATTTGATTTCCACTATTCGGTCCAGAAAAGAAACAAATTCGGGTTTGAGAATCTTTGGATTAATGAATCAAATTGTAGAAACCTTGTGGCTGAATCTTGGAATGCTACAAGAGGTGCAAGTCTAATTTCTAGGTTAGGATCCTGTAGCAAAGCTATATGAGATTGGGGCAGAAAATTGACCTCTGACTTCCAGGCAAGGATTAACCACTGCCTTAGACAGATGTACGCTATCAGAAATAGAACAGATCACTCCAGTCTTCACGCCTTCTTAGATGCAAAACGAAGTTGTATCCACCTACTCCACTAACAAAATACTTATTGGAAGCAACGAGTGAAGGCTTTCTAGTAAAAAAATGGGGACCTCAACTCTAATTTCTTTCACAAGTCGGTCTCTAAAAGAAGGAGAAACAATGCCATCAATAAGCTCAAGAACTCAAATGGCATTTGGATAGAAAAAAGGTCTGGTTCTTAACGAGGTAATGCTCAACTATTTTTTCGATCTTTTCAAATCTGCCTCTGGAAACCCTAATCCGGTCCTTAATTGCATAAAATAAAAAATCACTGATGCACACAATCAATTTCTCTTGAGGCCTACCAATGGGGATGAGGTAAAACGAGCATTTTTCTCTATGCACCCCGATAAATCCCAGGGTCCGAACGGTTTCAACCCCAGCTTCTACCAAGCTTTCTAGGAAATCCTTGGTAATGATATAACCTATCTGTGTAATGATTTTATTGTCTCTGGGAAGCTGCCACAATGACTAAACAACACCCACATTGTTCTCATTCCAAAAAAGACTATTCCTAAGAACATGGGTGATTTGCGTCCCATTGCTCTATGCAATGTGGCATACAAGATTGTAGCAAAAGTTTTGGCGAACAGGTTGAAAGGGTTGCAAGACAAAGTTATTACTGAAAACCAGAGCGTGTTCGTCACTGGCAGAATGATAACAGACAACATTATGGTTGACTTTGAAGCCCACCAATACTTAAAGCGCAAGAAACAGGGCAAGGAAGGTTTCACTGCGCTCAAACTCGACATGAGTAAGGCTTTCGATCGTGTGGAATAGCCCTTTCTTCAAGATATTCTGCACAAAATGGGTTTCAGTGACAAATGGATTTCCCTCATCATGGAATGTGTCTCCACCGTTGAATATCATATCTCTCACGATGGTAATTTGATTGGTCCAATCACCCCGTTAAGAGGTCTTAGGCAATGAGATCCCATCTCCCCCTACCTCTTCATTATTGTTGCCGAAGGTCTTAGTACTATGATCAAAGAAGCAGAAACAAACGGTCTCCTTCATGGGATCCAAGTAGCTCGTGGTGCTCCAAAGATTTCCCATCTCCTTTTCGCAGATAACAGTTTCCTGTTATGCAAAGCCACCATTCCTGAAATCCAAACTATAAAGGTGATCCTGGATGAGTATGCTACTGCTTCTGGCCAACTAATCAACTTCAGTAAGTCTTCCTTTTTTTTTTCAGCCCCAATGTCAATGATAACCTGAGGTCTAGGATTTGCAACATCTTGCAGGTTGAAGGGGTAGGGAATTCTGGAAATTATCTAGGTTTACCATATCTTATTGGCAGAAAAAAAAAGAGATCGTAGGTTTCCTCAAGCATAGGGTTCTTAACAAAATCCGTAACTGGAGCCACAAGTTTCTTTCAAGGGCCGGAAAGGAAGTTATCATCAAGAGTGTTATTCAAGCGCTCGTTTCTTATGCTATGAGTGTGTTTCAAATAACAAAGGATATTGTTAGAGATATCGAATGTGCATTTAATGCCTTTTGGTGGGGGGCTGATTATGGTAGTCGCAATGGTATACGTTGGAAGGCTTGGTCTCAAATGTGTGTTCCAAAGGACTGGGGTGGAATTGGATTCCAGAAGTTTGATCTTTTTTAATACTGCTCTCTTTTGTAAACAGGCTTGGAGACTCATTCAACATCCCTCCTCTCTTGTTGCAAAAGTCTACAAGTGTTGACAAGTTTGTCAAATTCTAGACAAAAGGGGATCATCAAGTCAAACAAGGATTAGGAATTCAATTCCTAATCTAAATAGGATTAGCAACCCTATTCCCATTCAATCAATAACTCTCGTCTTATAAAAGAAGATGCATCACAATTCCTCTCTTTACGCTTTCAGCACCTAATCGTGAGCACGAGAGTAATTGAGAGAGATACCCAAATCCCCTTGAAAAGTAGTACAAGTGTTTAGGTCTCAATAGCTTAATAGGAAATCATATTGTGTAATCCCTGTTCCCTAAACAAAGTGTACTTTAAATATTGAGCTTTTAGTGGATTTAGGCAAATTCTCAATTTGAGAAGTGCCTCGCAGATTAGGGCTGCTTGCCCGAAACTGCGTTATAAATATTTGTGTCACAACGTCTGTTTCAACGTTACCAAATTCAAACGTCTATATTAATTTCAATTGGTATCAGAGCGGGTCTGCTCAAGTTACCAGCAGGATCCAAATGGAGTTCCCAAGAGAAGGACTTTCAAACAATAGACCCCCGGCTCTACTTGGCACAAACTTCTCCTACTGGAAAGCTCGAATGCAGATATACATTCTAGCACAAGGAGAAGGCGTCTGGAATGCAATAGAAAACGAATGGAAAACTCCAGTTGATGATAAAGGGAATGCAAAGCCTAGAACTGATTGGAGCGAAGAAGAGAAAACTGAATATGACTTCAACTCAAAGGCTATGAATGCAATATATGGGGCAGTAAGCGAAGACACTTTTAAACTAATTGCATCAACACGCATAGCCAAAATTGCGTGGAGTATATTGTGCGATCATCATGAGGGAAACAAAACTGTAAGACAATCAAAGCTTCAGATGATACAAACTGAATTTGAAAACCTGAAAATGGGGGAGGAAGAAAGCATCACCCAGTTCAGTGCCAGAGTCTTAAGCATATCCGGAGATGCATTCAACTTAGGCGAACTATACCCGAACATAGGATCGTCAAAAAGGTACTACGCTCACTACCCGGAAGATTCCAAATGAAAGTCACCGCTATTCAAGAGCATAAAGATCTGAATACATACAGACTAAGTGACCTAATCGGAAATCTTCAAACCTATGAACTGGAGATGCTACAAGGTCAGAAAAACAATGGTAAAGGAATAGCATTACAGTCCAGACAAGAAGAGAACTCAGAAACTGATTCAGAAACCATGGATCAGTCAATTGCACTACTAACAAAGAATTTTAACCGAGTTCTCAAGAAATTTAACAAGTCCAGGAATAAAAACTTCTCAAACAACCCGGTAAATTCTACAAATCAGAAACCATCCAATCCAAAGAGAAGAGATAATACAATTACTGAAGGAATACAATGCTATGAATGCAAAGGCTTTGGACACATTCAATCAGAATGTGCTACATACTTGAAAAGGAAAAATAAAACATATATAACAACTCTGAGCGATGACTCAGATAGTGAAGAAGATGATAACAACACAAACTTCGTAGCATTCACTGCTAGTCATGAAGACAACAATAGTGATGACATGCAAGAGTTACTAGAAGCATACTCTCAACTAAATGCCAAATGGGAGCAAATCATCAAGAAAAACTTGGAACTCATGGAAGATAATCACTATTTAAAGAATGAAAAAGAGCGAATAGAGAAACAGTACAAAGAAGCCCAGAACGAACTCCTAGACCTCAAGAACAGAGAAACAAAACTGCTACAAGAAGTTAAGGAGCTTACCAAAAGACCCGGGACTCCAAGCACGGACACCAGTGAGAATAACCAACCTGAAATACAGGAGGTGTCGCAACAGCACTTCCGACATTGAAGAAGAATAAGGTGCTACTATTGTCACAAACTAGGACACATCAAAGCACATTGCTACAAAAGACAAAACGACTATTACTACAGACAAAACAACGGGGTATGGCCACCACACAACAGAAATAATAGCAAGAAAATCTGGGTAAGAAAAGACCAAAACGTTGCATACACTTCCAAAACAAACAAGGAGCAAGATATATGGTATTTTGACAGTGGATGTTCCAGGCATATGACTGGAAATCCAGAAAATTTAGAGAACATACACTATAAAGATGAAGGATATGTTACCTTTGGAGATGGAGGAAAAGGGAAAATCGTTGCAAATGGAAAAGGGAAAAATAATTTTTCCTATTCTTCCTTCTTAGGCGAATAATGTTACCTTTGTGAAGATGAACTCAAAGTGGAATTCACAAAAAATAGTTGCAATGTTCTCAATCATAATCATGAATGTGTTATGATCGGAAGAAAATCCACAAATAAATGCTACACATGGGACGGTGATCTATCTTGCCTACAGACAACTATCAATCAAACACAACTATGGCACCAACGGATGGGTCACATAAACTTTCATGACATGAAAAAGGGTTTAAAGAAGGGAGTCTATCGAGGAGTTCCAACACTTGACATAGATGATAGCAAAAAATGTGATGCATGCCTTGAAAACAAAATAACCCGAACAGCCCATAAGAAGACCTCAGGATTATACACTTCTAGAATCCTAGAACTACTTCACATGGACTTGTTTGGACCAACCCAGACAGAAAGCATAGGGGGAAAAAGATATGTCTGTGTAACAGTTGATGACTACTCAAGATTCACATGGGTAAACTTTCTTAGAGAAAAATCAGAAGCGTTTGAAACATTCAAAACTCTCATCATCAAAATTCAGAATGAAAAAGAAGGAAGAATAGGAAAAATTATTCGCCTAAGAAGTGATCATGGAAGAGAGTTCGAGAATTCTAAATTCAAAGAATACTGCACAGAAAATGGAATTCACCATGAGTTCTCCGCACCAAAAACACCCCAACAAAATGGGGTAGTTGAACGAAAGAATCGAACCATCCAAGAAATGGCAAGAGTCCTCTTAAATCACAAAAGGCTTCCATCAAAATTCTGGGCAGAAGCAGTTAACACAGCATGCTACTTGATAAACCGAGTATTCATTCGAAAAGAAATCAACATGACACCATATCAAATCTGGAAAGGAAGAACACCAAATTTAAAACACACATATGTGTTTGGAAGCAAATGCTATATTCTAAAAGATAGAGAACCATTGGGAAAGTTTGATATAAAAGGTGATGAAGGGATCTTTCTAGGATACTCCTCAAACAGCCGGGCATACCGAGTATATAACCTTAGGACAAACACTGTCATAGAGTCTATCAATGTTGTGGTCAATGACACAAAAGAAGATTTTCCCAAAGATGATGAGGAGATAACTGGTGTTGAAACAGCAGTTCCAACATCACACGACCAGAAATCAGAACCAGAAACATTAGAAAAAGAAGAAGATGTAGACCTTGAAGAAAAAGAAGAAATCCATACCACTGATGAAACCAGGGTACAGAAGAATCATCCAATAGAGAACATCATAGGAGGACTAAATGAAGGAATCAGGACGAGAGGAAAGAAACGAGACTATCAAAAAATGGAAGAAGGAGACTATGACTATTGCTACACTTCAAAAATTGAACTCAAAAACATCACGGAAGCCCTAAAAGATGAATTTTGGGTAGAAGCCATGCAAGAAGAATTACAGCAATTCAAAAGACACAATGTCTGGGAGCTAGTCCCTAAACCGGAACATGCTAATATCATAGGGACAAAATGGATTTACAAAAATAAAACGGATGAACAAGGAAACATCATACGTAACAAAGCCCGACTAGTAGCTCAAGGATACACTCAAGTAGAAGGAACAGACTTCGAGGAAACATTCGCCCTAGTAGCCAGAATTGAATCAATTCGGCTACTCATAGCAGTAGCTTGCATACTCAAGATAAAACTCTACCAAATGGATGTGAAAACTGCATTTCTGAATGGATATCTAAAAGAAGAGGTCTATGTTTCTCAACCAAAAGGATTTGAAGACCCCCATTTTCCACAAAGTGTTTTTAAACTTAACAAAGCACTATACGGTCTAAAACAAGCACCACGGGCTTGGTACGAACGCCTCACTGATTTCCTAGTCAAAAAGGGTTACACAAGAGGCAGCGTGGACAAAACACTATTCGTCAAACAACTTGGTCAAGACATAGTCATTGCCCAAATCTATGTTGATGACATAGTATTTGGCTCAACACTCGAGGACCACAAAGACCAATTCATCATCAACATGGAAGGAGAATTTGAGATGAGCATGGTTGGGGAATTAACCTACTTTCTTGGTCTACAAATCAGACAACTGGACAATGGAATCTTTATTTCTCAAAGCAAATATGCCAAAAATTTAGTCAAAAGATTCGGTCTAGAAGAAAGCAAAGTTGTCAGAACACCTGTTCCAACAACAGAGAGAATATCAAGGGATACAGAGGGAAAACCGGTTGAACAAACCCTATATCGAAGCATGATAGGAGGGTTACTATATCTAACCGCTAGCAGACCAGATCTAAGCTTTGCAGTAGGAATTTGTGCAAGATACCAAGCAAATCCAACCGAGCAACATTTAAAAGCGGTGAAAAGAATCATTAAATATGTGAAAGGGACATCTGATCTAGGAATATGGTATTCATTTGACACCAATCATCATCTCTCAGCTTACTGTGATGCTGATTGGGCAGGTAACATAGATGATAGAAAAAGTACGTCAGGAGGATGTTTTTTCCTAGGTACTAATCTAGTATCTTGGATCAGCAAGAAACAAAGCTCTATTTCCCTATCAACAGCAGAGGCCGAATATATTGCAGCAGGAAGCTGTTGCACACAACTGCTTTGGATGAAACAGATGCTAGAAGACTATGGAATGCAACAATCAACCATGACAATCCACTGTGACAATAAGAGCGCAATAGACATTTCAAAAAATCCAGTCCAACACTCAAGGACAAAACACATAGACATCAGACATCATTTCATAAGGGAATTAGTTGAAGATGAAATCATCAGTCTTACTCACATAAGTACAGAAAGACAACTAGCAGATATTTTAACCAAAGCTCTAGATGGGAATAGATACACCAAATTAAGGGCTGAAATGGGCCTGTGTATCCTATAATACTCACCAATTAAAAAAAAAATAACAATGGGCTCAATCCACAAAACAAGTCCATCAACCCATAACCGGCCCATGTCTTATCATCACTCCGCCCCTTCACAAAAGCTCAAACCCGGATCCATATCTCAAAAGCCCCAAATCCAAAACAGAGTCATCACTCTCACCCGATTCCACTCACCCCCCACCTGAGAAATCACCACCCATCCTCAACCTTCATACAACAGTAACCATGGTGAGAACCAGAAATCAGAGAATGGGAAAGTTACCTCGAAGAGGAACAACCAACAGCACCTCAAAACACACCGGCACTGGAGAATCATCGAACCCTGTATGTGTTGAAGAAGAGGATTCCGCCAACATTGCGATGGACCCTGTTCCGATAGCCAGAGTACCGTTCGGAAAACCACAAGAACAGAACGCCAATCCACCAGGTAACCAAAATCTTCCCCTAATTGATCCTGTTGAACAACCCGAATGCATGCCCATTGCGGCTGACTTTGGGGACAATCGAATTGTCGACCCAAACGACCTTGTAGTACAACTTAGGTTTGCCATAAATCGCGGTTGGGAACCCGATTTAGGATCTTATGTCAGCTCCGTAAAAGAGGCAAACTCGGAGGAGACAAACCGTTCCCCCACACCACAGAACGAAGAACACACCACACCCATTGAATCACCCATTGAATCCCCTGTTCCAATTTCTCCAGTAAATGAAAACCCTAGAAAAAGGAAGAAACCCGACCCGTTTGAAGGAGCTGATCCTAGGGCCAAAAGGCCAAACGACTTCCCAATACGGGTAGGCCCTCCTCAACGAAAGCCAAACATCCCATCTATGCCCTCAACAAGCAAGAAATCAAGAAGGATAGCAATAGAGGATGAACCGGACTGGTCACCACATGAAGAAAATGAAAGCCCTATTAGAGTAAAGACCCAAGCCCAAATGAAATCCCAGGTACCTGCCAGAAAAGAGAAACAACAAAAGAAAACACCTATCACCAAAGCAGCTAAACTGTCTAAAAAGGAAAAAGGGAAACAGAAGGCAGTTACTAATGCTGACATGTCAAACTTACCAAAACCCCACAGTACTGTTCTTTTGAAAAAAGAATCAGCAAGTTTACTGAAAAGAATAGTGGGAAGAAAGATTATAAGCCAAAAACTGCTTGACATAAGTAAGCTGGAAAACCAAGAACAGATTCAAAATATCCTAGTCACAAACCAGCTTCTTGGAACAGTGACTAATATTGAGCCCTATGAAGCAAAGATAGTACAAGAGTTCTACTGCAATCTTACAAAAACCATCTCTACACCTAGCAGTCCTATGTATGGAAAGGCATACTTGAGAGGTAAATTTTATCAATTCACACCAGACACTATCAACAAGTACCTAGGAACACCAGAAGCAGAACAAAACATGGAGATAAATAGTGAGGAAATTGCACAAGAACTCACAGCTGGAAATGTCATCTTTGAAAAGAACAAGATCAAGGCAGCATCTCTTACAAGCAAATATGCAGTCCTCTAGAAAATAGCACTTGCCAACTGGATGCCCTCTCTACATGAATCTACTGTGAAATGGACCCTAGCTGAGTTACTGTACAAGATAGGGAAAGGGATTCAATCAAATATGGGTAGCATCATTCACTCTCAAATCATAAACCTAGCAGAGGACACCAAATCCAACACCTCCCTGATTTTTCCAAACCTTATCTTTGCCATCCTGACAGAACAAGGTCTCAAAACACATGGTCCAAAAATCAGTGTCAAGAACATCAACACCACTATCA